AAGCGCTGCGCCATGTGCCCGGGGCCAGGCCAGCCCCGAGCACCTGGCGGGCGCATTGAAATGCCCCCGCGGGCGCCATGGCGCCCATGGGCACCGTGTTGGGGACCACGGCTCTAGTGACTTTTTTTAAAATGTTCACAAGCATGAATTTTTATGTTAAAGTGATCATGTGAAAAGTTTCAGGAGAGTGGCTTTTTGCTTTTTCTGGGGCTTTCTGTGCATAATATTAAACTTGCCTAGATTTTTTTTAAATTAAAATTTAATGATAGCAAAATGTGGAGCAAGTTTGCAAAAAGGTTACAAAATTGTTTGACACAGTTTTTGTACGAGTGTTACCCAACTCTGTTAATAAGGACATTACTTTATAGTATTTAACTCAGTTTCTTTTCCTTGCTAATTTTTAAGATTAATGCTATCACCTAATTTGTTGAGATCCATATCTTTTCCAGTAAGAAGAAAATTGACTCATAGGACAGGCAAGCATTGCCTGAAATGTAGTATCAGATATACAGAAACATATCCAGATATGTAACGCTATTCATTGTCTCTCATAAGTTCAGGTTTTTAAGACATTAAAAGGTAGCGTATTTATTGAAATATTTCTTGCACCTATACTTGATTTTGAGCTTTTTACATAATTTGTGTAAGACAACTGAAATAAAACTGCAGGATTCCAACCATTACTATAGATCATACAAAAATCATAATGGACCGCCTAGTATCTCTTCCTAACTCCAAACATCTGGGCTCTGCTTCAGAGATAGGCCTAGGCCTATTGTGACAATACGGTAGTCCCTGTCCATTGCATTTCAAAGACTTTCACACTAATGAGGATCACAATCCTCACCAATGCCAACAAAAATATTATTAGCCATACATGTTAAGCATATTCCTGATAATATACTAGTTCAATTGAGAATATGCCACATGGTAAGAGTTCTCAATTAAAAGGTACAAATAACAACTTAGAATTAAAATGATGAGGTCTAAATTAGCTGTTACCATTCAAGAAAGAAATTATGGAGTCATGAATAGTTCTCTGAAAATATCCACTCAATGTGTAGTGGCAGTCAAAAAAAGCAAACAGCATGTTGGGAATCATTAAGAAAAGGATAGATAATAAGACAGAAAATATCATTGCCTATATTTAAATCCACACATCTTGAATACTGCATGTAGATGTGGTCGCTCCTTCTCAAAAAAGCATACATTGGAATTGGAAAGGGTTCAGAAAAGGACAACAAAATGATTAGTGGTATAGAAGAACTTCCATATGAGGAGTGGTTAATAAGACTTGGACTTTTCAGCTTAGAAAAAAAGAAGACTAAGTTTGGATATTATAAAAGAGCTATAAAATCATGACTGCTGTAAGGAAAGTAAATAGGGAAGTATTATTTACTCCTCATAACACAAGAAGTAGGAGTCACCAAATGAAATTAATAAGCAGCAGATTTAAAACAAAAGAAGTATTTCTTCACACAACACTCCGTCAACCTGAGGAACTCTTTGCCAAAGAATGTTGTGAAGGCCAAGACTGTAACAGGGTTCGAAAAAGAACTAGATACATTCAGGGATTATAAATCCATCAGTATATAGGAGCAAGGATGGACAGGGTGGGTGTCCCTAGCTCAGTGGTCCCCAATGTGATGCCTGCGGACGCCATAGTGCCCGCCGGGCCATTTCTGTGCGCCCACTGAGTGATCGGGGCCAGCCCCGCCTCCGGGCGCACGGCACAGGGGCGGCGCTGGCCCCGGGCATGCAGCACATGGGCTATTCCAGCCCCGGGCACGCAGCGTATGGGCGTCCCCGCCCCACGTGGCACAGGAGCAGCACCAGCACCAGGCGCGCAGCACATGGGTGCTGCCGGCTCCTGGGCGCGCAGCACATGGGTGGCCCCGCCCCCAGGTGTGCGGTGCATGGGCTGTGCCGGGTGCACAGCGTGTGGGCGTCCCCGCCCCTGGGCATGCGGCACAGGAACGGTGCCAGCCCCAAGCACACGGCGCATAGGCGCTCCTGGCTCTTGGGTGTGCGGCATAGGAGTGACGCCGGCCCCGGGCACTCAGCACATGGGCTGTTCCGGTCCCAGGCGTGTGGCGTATGGGCAGCCCCACCCCTGGGCGTGTGGTACAGGAGCAGCGCCTGCCTTGGGAGTCCGGCACATGGGTGGCACTAGCACTGGCACACGGCACATGTGTGGCCCCACCCCCGGGTGCCCGGCACGTGAGTGGCCCTGCCCCTGGGCGCCCGGCAGCCCCAAAAGGTTGGGGACCACTGCCCTAGCTTCTAGTTCCCATATGCTGGGAATGATTATCTGTTTTGTTCATTCCCTCTGGGGCATCTGGAATCGGAAGACAGGATATTGAGATGATGAAGCTTTCATCTGACCCAATATGGCTGTTCCTATGTTCTTGTAAATACCTTTTTGTGCTGGAATCGGAAAGCTGATTCGTAGACACAGTTTGGTGTGGGACGGACTAACAGGAAAATAACATAGTGTAGAATTCTATCCTCAGGCATTCACATTCAGGAGAAATTAGCTTTTATCGGGTTAGCTTAGGCAGCCCCTTTATGTTATGTGCTGTGCATCTTTTTGTCAGTAACTTTATCTGTTTCATCCAAAGGTGGATGTTCTCGTGACACTAGGAATGCCACCCACTTCATACATAGCAATTAACATTGAAACAAAATGCAGCGTATTTTTTCTTTTTTGAGAGCATTCATACCAAGTAATTTTCAGATTTGCTCTTACACAATTTGCATCACAGGCCATTGGATGCATATTTCCTTGTAAGCTACAATCACAGTGTGGTTCCTTAAAAAAATTGCAATTAGAATTTTGATTTGTTTATTTTTATTTCACCTTCCAGTGAAAAACAATGCATTCCTACTAAACTAAAAACATCCATGAAGCTAGGAATGTCACAAACCAAACCTGCTAATTGAGCCATTTTTGTAATTCTATACATTTCACTAAATCATTTGTTTAGTGAAATCTCTGTTTTGCATTTCAGAAGCATTGAGGCAATTTCTTCTTAGTTACTCCTGTGCAGTTCTACTCAGTTTAGTCACTGGATTTGCACTGGAGTAAACAATGGAAAAATGAACACCTTTGCATGTGAAAACAAAAAATACTTCAAAGCTGACAGATTTATAGTCCCAAAAACGGACTATAATGTCCCATCCCACTATTAGTTGATCACAAAGGATTTCAAGAAATGGCAAATGATTGTCATATTTTCAGTGCTGGAAGATTTGGTTTGGGTTATTTTGTTTTGTTTTTTAAGTTTAAATGGCTGCAGGCATTAAACCCTTTTTAATTTCTAGTCATTTCTCCTCTCTTTGTTTTACTCTTCCCAGACGTGGATAATTATAATGACCTCTTTTGCAGAGTATTTTATGATTTACCAATTGAAAGTGCCATAGAAAGCTAAGAAGTAGTATTATATTAAAACAAAAACAATTTTAAAATGTGTATTTTGACAGCACAAATATAAAGCAAGAAGAATTTATTCAGTTTGTTTCTCTCAACAGTCAGTACAGTTACACTGTCATTTGTAATTTGATCATTTGAGTGGGGTGAGGGTCAAGGGTATTAATTTGAATGACACAAAGGCTTACCTATTTCCATTACAGTATTTTTGTTTTATCATGTATGTATAAAATCAAAATTTATCAGTTCTTTTTCATTTTAGCTTCTAAGTATATTTGCATTTTTTCCTCAACAGCAGTACGTCAAACATCCCCACTACCACTTGTAACAAAACCTTCAGTTACTTCCAAGACAAAAGCAACAATGGGTATAGAAGTTTCCTTACTGAAGTTGTTATATGGTATTTTTCCCTTTTCACCAAAGACAACCGCTCTGGAAACTTATTTAATGATATGGCATTTCATACTCTTTCATTCTCCTTCTACATTTATCCACATCCTTTGCCACATGAGATTTCATAGCTCTGTCTTAGAAATGGTCTCTACTACTACTATAAAGTCTGCTAGGAAGCACCATTAACCTATTATTTCTTATCTATCTGTCAAAACAGAGTGGTCCCATTTTTTAAGAATACTGTATAAGAATTTTGTCCATTTTTATATTAAATCATCCCACTCTAATTTTCCTCTTTTTGAGCAGTCATTTTATTTCAGCTTCCAGAAAACCATGAAATTGTTATTCTCTTTACTTCAGGCTTGTACTTTCTGTGGACTAAACATGGCATTGGACTATGATTCCTGAAGAATACAACAATAATCTTGCTCCTTTCTTTCAGCTCCAAAGGAAATACGACTCATTCCATCCAAACCCAAAGCATCTGTCCGGCCAGAAGCACCGCAGACTAAACCTGGTAAATGCATTATTTCTGCAATTCAGTATAAAGACTTTACAACCTTTACAGATGTTATTGTGGCACTACCTTAGTTACACATCCTGACATTGGTCAGTGCCTTGATGTTATGATAGTCACGGCATCTTGAAAGATATTAAGATCATTTTGTTTCATTGAGTTCACAATAGTGAATTGATAAAGAGGAGAACATTGAAAGGGCTAGCAGAATTTGAATCTCAGTTTGTGGAAAGCCATTTGGCCATGGTTTTTTCATGCTGAATTTAAGTAATAGCCATGGATTGTTTTTTAACCCATAGAACGCCTTGATGTGCCTTGGATACACATGCATTTCTATAGCAGCTGTAACTATAGCATTAAAGCTATTCTCTTCTTATGGAAATTGTGAGAAAGGGAACCATGATTTGGTAAGTGTCAGGGAGATAGCCGAGTTAGTCTGTTTCAGCAAAAACAACAAAGAATGCAGTGACACTTTAAAGCCTCACAAATGTATTAGGGTGTTGGGGCATAAGCCACCATGAACTACAGTTCACTTCAGCTTTCTTCCACTTTTCAAACATCCTCTGAACTCAGGTCTAAGAATCAGCCAATATTCAGTTGTAGTTGGATTATAAAATAAGGTTAACTTTTAAGGCGAGTAATGACAGGAACAAGAGGAGCTCTTAATTTTTCAAAAGTGGTAGCTGGAAACCTAATCTTTGACTTTGTCAATTATATTTGCTCTTGAAGTAGACATAGTAATTTTTAATCATTTCCTTTTTCTCGATCCTCTAACACTGGGAGGGAAGATAGTAATAACTCTATTCTTTAGAGAATTGTACAATTTTGTTCTGCTTCACAAAAATTGAAACAGATAATAAAAGAGATTAACTTTTTAAAAGATGATTTTGAGAAACATTGTACAAGTAACCAAGTCATTCTTATGGAAGAATCAATTGACTAGAGCTATCAGTGGATGCTAGGGTTAGCATGACTGCAAAGAAATGTGCATATCAGAAGAGAATGGTGAGAAAATGTAAATATATCAACAAATAGTAAAAGTATTTTTACTATATATGTGCATTATTTTAATTAAGTACTTGGAAAATGAACTTTCTGCATCTGGCAATTGTTTAATTAGAATCTTAATTTATTTTGTAAAAGAAAAGCCTGTTCTTTGTTCCCAACCTCACATACCACCAAGTTAATTTTGCTGCTTCTGCATATGTTGTAGTAAGATTAGGGACTGAAACAAAAGTCCATGTAGCACAGGCCTGGTTTGAGGCAAAGCTAAACTGGGAGCGAGAGGCAGGCTTCTGCTCACAGAACTTGGCACGAACATGGCTGAAAGTGTAAAATAGTAATTGGCAATAGGCCTAGGTGTAGGACAGTATTTGGGACTAGGCACTGACTGTAGAACAGTAATTGGTACTGGTCACAAGTTGAAAGCACATTCCAAAAGGATGGTACCACCAACTTTTTAAAAAAGACCTTGGTACCCACATTTCCCACAGGTGCCAACCCAGGCTCAGGAAAGGGTCTAAACTGACAGCATGATGGACAGAGATGTTCTAATTGAACCATGAGGTGCAGGGTGATGAGTGGTATCTAAGTCGCGTCAGAGGATGGCAGCCTGACACGTCAGAAGTGATGTGAAACTTGTTTGTAGCTGAATATATACACAGGTGTGTTGGGCGGGTGAAAGTCTTTGTCCAGACCTCCCACTGACTAAGCTGAGCCCAATGTTATGGGTACATGGTGCTGTGTCTAGACTATTAGGGTGTGTCTAGACTGCATGGCTCCGTCGACGGAGCCATGTAGATGAGGCAGGACGACAAAGGGAAACGAGGCTTACGGGATCTGCTGACAAAAGGTTCTGGGGTCGGCAGATCCCCATCTAGACTGCCGTGCTATGCTGACAAACAGCTGATTGGCACAGCACGGAGGCCATTTTGATTTAAATGAAGCGGCAATTATTTAAATAGCCACTTCATTTCCCTTTGTTGTCCTGCCTCATCTACATGGCTCCGTCGACGAAGCCATGTAGTCTGGACACACCCTTACTGTACTTCACTTAACAATAAACCTGGCTGGGCACCTTCGATCCTCATCTGATATATGGTCTTTGGGAGCTCTCTCGAAGTCTGCTGTGTTGACTAATTGTGCAAGTGAACACGGCACACATCATTGAGTATACACATACAGCCTTCTGGTTATCATCACTGATGGAGCAGGAGACCTATCAGGACACCACACCAGTAAATCCTGACTTACTACATGTGCCACTGATATTTTATTTTCTGTTGCTCCAAAAACAATGTGCCTGAGATAAGTTAACCTTGTGACAATTCATGTTGTTGATGGATCCAAAATGACACTGAGTAATGAAATTTTCTTGGCAGTTTTTGTCATTATCTTTTCCCTTATGCTTTTGAAAGATGACTGAAGATATTATTTTATCAACAGCAAAGCTTTCCATATTTCTCTCCCTTTGGTTGCAGGGGGGGTCATGCTCTAGGGCTCACACATAATACTGCTTCTGATTTTCCAGTCAGTTTGTTTGCTGTTCTTCCTAGGAACAAACTTCTCATGCACAAGCCTAGACTGTCATCTGCAAAGCTTTACCCTGATCCCCTAATCTTCTGTTGCCTGTCTTATTAATGCTTTGTGTTCTCGTCTCAACAATTACATTTTCAATTAAAGCATAACTTAGAGCCAGGTTTCTGGGGCTGAACCTTTTCATTTCTGGACTACACAAACAGAGTTTTAATCCTCCTCCTCCTTGAATTTAATTTGTAGGATGTGATTTTGAGACGTGATGTCCATTTAATCAGATCTGATGTTTTCACTTTCAGTTCCAAATGAAACATACCCGATTTCATTCAAGCCCCAAACTGCTCTAACTACAGAAAATCCACAGTTGAAAACTGGTAATTTATTTGTTTGTTTTTTTTCTTAATTCAGTGCGTAGGGATTGTTAACAGTCTCAGAAGTAGATGATGCACTTTGCACTTTAATGTTAAACTGTGTATACATTATTACCTAGAAACTTATATTACAGGTACATTTTGGTTTTGGTCAGGAGCCCAAATATCATACTCTGTGTTTTTGGGGGTTGGGCATTCAGAGATTGAGCCAAATTCTGCCCTGGAGTGCAGACATACTGCTCTTATTGAGGGGAAAAAATGGTGCATTCATATCCATGAGCAAGATTGGGTTTGGTACATTCACAGAATGTGCAAATCTCACTTAGTTCTGTGTGTATCCCACTATGGTGCACATCTGCCGGAGACCAAAAGGTTTTTGTTAGCAATTTCTGATGTTTGCCGCCTGCGCCCTCCTCCTCCTCATGCTCCAGAATTCCAAGACTGATGAAGACGGGTTGTTGACACATTCTAGAACCTCCCACATAAGATCCTCGTCCTTCTGCAGAACACAAGACCCAACAAGTTGGTGGCACTCCCCAGTCATGACTCCATCTTAGGACCCTCTAAGGTAGTCTAGCCCACCCCTGCTGCATGTCCCCTACTCCAATGAGGATAGAAAATAAGTAATTTGTATCAGTCTAGGGATCAGAAATTTTATTCACACACATTGCACCAAATTCCTTCATAGTCCAAGCAGTCACTGAAAGATCCAGGCAATATCAACCAAAATCCACTCCTTTTGATAAGGAAGCTAAATTGTTTAACCTATTAGGAAGGAAAGTTTTACTTCAACCAGTCTGCAGTTCTGCATAAGAAATTGCCAGGCTTTAATATCTAAATACCGTGTTGTGAATTACTCTAAGTTTATAGAATTTACTAATATGCTCCTGCAGTAGGCTAAAGTGGAATTCCAGGTACTCATTGAGGAAGTTAAATTCATTATCTGATCATTCCTTCAAGCATCTGATGATGCAAAAAAATCAGTTTCCCAAGTGATGGCAGTGGGTATATATTCAGAGGGACCATAAACCTCCATGGGAATGACAGAAAATGCAGTAGAGCAAGCAAACATCCCCCCTGTTGCTCCTTTCAACTCCAACAACCCTTCTAAGAAACACGTATGATGCGACCTTCAAGAGCTGCAAATCGTTCCAGATCTCCTCCTAAAAGTCTTATGCACTATTGTCAGCCATCTAGCTTGTCTCTCCCAAGCTTAGCAGATGATCAAGACTAACAGATGGGTTCTTGACATTATTCATACTGGCTACAGCACACAGTTCCTCTTCCTCCCCCATCAAAAGCCCTTCTCCACCTTCTTCAGGGCGTACTCTTACAAGATCTTGCTCATTAAAGAAGTAGAATGTCACCTTCACCAGGGTACCATACCGCAGGCATCCCTCATTACTGGGCAAAGAGTATTTACTCGAAATACTTCCTCGGGTCCCAAAAAATGGAGGATGAAGACTCAGATCTCAAACAGTTCAGTGCCTTTATCTGCAGATTGAAGTTCAAGATGGTCACCTGGCTTCAGAACCTTCAAGTCCAGTCAGAAACATCTCTCCTGTGTTGAAGTCTCAGTCTGGCATTAACAAGGCTTTGTTTCATTTGAATCCCAGGCCTTGACCCACTTCCATGAGGTGGTTGCCATTACCTCAGCTAGAAGTTTAGGTGAGCTGGGGGTCCTTATGGCTGATCTGCTCTACACAGTCTTCCAAAATAGCAATGATTCTTTAAGACTTGAGCCTGTATTTATTCCTAAAATAATCTTGGATTTCCATCTCAATCAAACAATTCATTCACCTGTCTTCTTCCCAGAATCACATGATACCAGTGAGGACATGACACTTCATTCTCTAGATGTCCATGAGGTTTTGGCATTCTACCTGCACCGAAGAACATTTTTAGAATCTCTACCCAAAGACTTTCAAAAATATCAGGCTGCCATCTGCTGCATTGTGAGTTACCAGCTATCCCCCGCTCCTCAGAGAACATGTGACTAGGGCCAAGGGTGCTTGGATATCCTCATTTTGTGATGTTTCTCTCACTGAAATCTGTAAAGCAGCAACATGGTCCATACATTTATGAAAGACATGTCCTGTTGCAAGTTTCTACAGCTAATGCATCTTCCAGCACAGCAATCTTCAAATCATTGGTACCATAGAAGTCCTCTGCACCTCCTCCCTCATACTTGATATCCATCATCCACAGTGGACTACACATAGGGACTATCACTTGAATAAGAAAGGAAATTACTAGTAATTAGGATCTGGAGTGCTTCCAAGGTATGTTGTCCTTATAGGTATTCCACTATCTGCCCTCCTTCCCCTCTGCTTTGGTTCCTTTACACATGATTTATAGTAGCGAAGGAGCTGGAGATGCAGTCAGTCTGCATCACCTCTTACGTGAGGAGATAATGGGCACAGACAAAAATCTTCTGGTGTCTCAAACATGGAGCATGTTCCACAGTGGAGTGCAAATAGGGGATACACGACTTTAAGAACTCCAGTTATTGTACAAGGTAAGTAACATTTCTCAGTTGTGTGATACTTGTCATTAGAAGTCTTTGGGATAGAGTGAATAATTAACATTAGCCAGATTAATCATGACTTCCACCTTTTCCCTGACCATACAGCCGTGCATGGGCACAGTTCCTATGGACATCAGTGGGAGTTACATGTGTAGAAGGGTGAAGAAGGGAAGCACTATTTTGGAATAACAGCCGTTACTCTGAAATAACAATGCGAGCATCTAAATAGCAATTCCGTTATTTTGAAATAAATTCAAAATAATGGATGGCTTATTCCAGCTTCTGTGAACCTCATTCCATGAGGAATAACGCCTCTTCCGAAATTGCTATTTCAAAATAGCTCCTCCCCAGGGCCATTCAAAGTAATTCCTCCCTGGTGCGTCCTGGGGCTCTAAATCAAGGTAGTGTCTCCACATTAGGGGAGCCTTCCTTGTACTAATTTCAAGGCTTCCCTCTAGTGTAGACACGCTATTTTGAAATAAGCTATTTCAGAGTATTTCTTCTGGAATAGCTTATTTTGAAATAAGTGTGCCGTGTAGATGTACCCTAAGTGCCACCTTAATGATTGATGAGAAGATATAAAAAAAATCTATCCACAAAAAGATAGCTGAGTGCATCTTTCAGACAATGAATACACGAACTTTCAGAAGCCAAATTTCAGAATTTCACCTCATTCCACATTTTTAGTCAAGTTAAATGAAATTTGCAGAGAATGTTGCTATTTAAAAAAAACAGATTTAAGAAAAAAACTCTATTTTCCCTAAATCTTGTGGAGGAATAATCTTTAAATGATTTCCTCCCATGGAACACTTGCTTTAAATATATTTTAGTTTTGTAAAATCAGATTTACTGTCTGCCTCACAGTGATCATATGAAGTTTAATGCATTCATGTTACTAACTTGTATGTGTTTCTTAGATGAGTAGTGTTACAGAAAAACAAAGTATTAAACTCAGCCATCTTTCGGATAAGATATTTAATCTAGGACTATAACTTTTTCCAAGTTGAGCAATGACAGTCTGTCTGCTTAAACATTTCCTGTATAGTTTCATATGAAAAAGATATTACTTTTCATTTATACTCTTTAAAAGCTGTTATACAAAGTGTTGCTAGCACTGATGAGTAGTGTTACAGAAAAACAAAGTATTAAACTCAGCCATCTTTCGGATAAGATATTTAATCTAGGACTATAACTTTTTCCAAGTTGAGCAATGACAGTCTGTCTGCTTAAACATTTCCTGTATAGTTTCATATGAAAAAGATATTACTTTTCATTTATACTCTTTAAAAGCTGTTATACAAAGTGTTGCTAGCACTGAATGGCTACTAGGACTATGCTTATGGTACAAAGAACTGTAGAGCCTTTTAGACTGTATTTGGGGTATAAGGTGATGGTGATTAACTTGGCTGTTACTGACTTCTGTTTTACATTTACAGTTTCCTATGTGGTTCGTACAGAAACCATTAAACCTAAAATATCAAAACCATTTGGCAAAACAGAAGCAACACTGGGTAATGGCCAACACTTCACATTTTTAAACATGATGCTATCACTGCATTTCACCAGTCCATGCTGTCTTTGCTATGAATTACTTCATTTTGCTTGCAGATATTTTCTCTTGAGCAATGCTGAAAACTTTCACACCTTTATCTGGAATACTTGACTATGGTTTTTTGGTTTTGTTTTTTTTACAGACACTAATAAAAATTTCTTTAGACTACAGACACGCTGCAGAACTGTCTCTGTATCCATAATCATTTGTGTAACTGAGTGCAAAATAATTCATGTCTTCTCCTTTTAAAACTTAAGCATGAATGTAGCCAGATAGACTCTGGCTGCAGTTAACATCTGACTGCTAAATGAACTAGCACAAGCTTCAGTGTGCAGCTAAAGTAATATGTTGAAAATTACAGAATTTGCACATGCACTAACAGTGCCTGTCTCCCTTGATTGTTGTTATTCCCCACAAACAGCATTTAAACTTCAGATTGTTTCTTTCAGCACCGCATAAAGTTCATCTCACTCCTGCAAGACCCAAGATATCTGATAAGCCACAGACCAGACCTGGTAATTAAATGTTCATTAAAAATGTCCTTAATTAATCAGCTTTGCTTATGTTTGGCTTTATCTTTTAAGTATTGCCGTGAAGTAGTTGGTATTTGCAGTTGAGTGCGTCTATTTATGTAGTCTTTCCATTGCTAATTTGACTGATTTTTATTTAGAAATTGTTTATAATCAGATAAACTTTCAAAAAGGTGGTTTCTATTTTTTTTTCCATTTGAAGATGTTTCATTTTCCCAACGTATATAGAGGCTGCTGACACAGATAATGCAGAACATAATCTAGAAAGTTCCCTTACAGTTCTGCTTAATTAACAGTAGTAACCTGGGTCCCCGTGTTCTCTCATAAATTTAGTTTACTTTTCATGTCAGACACCCAATTTCCACAGTGCATTGTGCTAACTTCTGTCATCTATCGAGCCATATTTACTGATTCTGACACAGGGTTTGCCACTGAAGTAAATGTGGAGTTGTGCATAAGAATGTATCGTGCAATATGGTCCACTGAAATTTCTGCAGCATCCTCGAGTCAATTCAAAGAGCAAAATTTTTATTTAATTAAATATGTAAATGAGTAATATCAACAGTTCCTTATTTCTTCTTTGATTCTTGTTGATAAATTTAATACAAATCTCAGTTTTAAAAAAATGAAATTACCCTACAATTTTGATTTTCAATGTGCTCCACAATTTTGTGAGGGCAGTTGGAATTCGCTCACGTAATTGTTGTTATTTTTTTTTAAATGAGAGCCTGCATTCTACCATCAAGTCCTGCAACTGGTGGATTCTGCAGCCATTCTGTAAATGTGGAATGAAAGAGTATAAAACTATCCCCCGTTGGTAGTTTCAGTTTTTAAAAAATGTATGCATATGTTCACATGAAATGATTTTTGAAGACACAATTTGTGCACAAAAAATAGCATGTTTTTAAATCAAATGCATGAGCTACAATACCAGTATTGCCTCATTTACTCTGTAACTAATGGGCAATTCAATTTCCAGTGGCCTTGTTTTTAATTAAAAACTGAGCAATTTAGTTTTAAATTGTCTCTGCAGTACTAAACAAAACGACACCAGGACCTGGTAGAACAAAAACTGCTGGAGTGGTGAGATGGGGCGGTACGCCAACAGGTAATGCATAAATATATGCTTTCTCTGTAATATTTTTTGAATGTATCTATAAAAAAAACGGAGTGTACTTGTTCAGTCCTTCTAGCTTTCTCTGAATTCATGTTTGACCAAGTTTTACTTAGTTATGGAAGTGAATTCTCTCACTGAAATACTGTAATTCACTTACTGTTTTCTGATCATGTGATGATGCTTAGTTTGTGCATACCGTGACTGAGCATCACTACAAAAAGCATATATATTCCCTACGGTTTTCTATATGGCCCATTTATAGTTTCATTTGAGCTAATTGGATATTAACAAGAACACTGTATAATTGCAGTCATGGGTTTGCTGAAGTATCATTCAATAGAGTGGCTGTAATTGACTGATTGCAGTAGCTAGAAAGAGACTATTAGCTTGTCACTAAGTAGCTGTGCTGCAGAGTAAACTCTTCATCTTTTAAATGAACACGTCTGTGGACTATTTGGAAAGGGATCTGGCTGTGATGGTGAATGTTAACCAAGATGTTTCTTTCTACCTTTCCAGCACTTAATTATACTTATCACTAGAAATTTTGTTCCTAATAGCCAACCTAAACTTCTCTCGCTGCAGTATAAGTCCATTATTACTTGTACTACAGAGAACAGTTGATCACCATCCTCTTTAGAAGAGTCCTTCACATATTTGAAGACTGTTGTCAGGGGCTTAATCTTCTTTTCTCAAAGCTAACCATGCCTAGTTTTTTAACCTTTCCTAACAGATGATATTTTCTAAACCTCTTATCATGTATGTTCTTTTCTGGAATCTCTCCAATTTCTCCATATCTTTCTTAGTGTGATGCTCAAAACTGGACACAGTGCCGCAACCTAGGCCTACAATTGCCAAGTAGAACAGGATGGTTATCTCCCACATCTTGCATAGGAATGCCAAAATAAGCCTTTTTCGCAACTGCCTCACATTGCAAAGTCTGGGAATATCTGTTTCTTAAAAGCATGACTGGTCAGCCAACTTTCAGCACCAGATGATGTTGTGGCATACCGCTAGGACTGAGTGAATTCAGAAATTCCATGGGATATTGAATGGCTTCATTTACATCCACAACTGTGTTAATTGAGTTGTAGCATACAGTTTCTCCACCACGGGTGAAGCAGTGTGGTGGGGGGGGGAGTGGGGCGGAGGGAATCCCCAGGCCCTGGGTGGAGCGGCATGGGGGAGGGGGAGAGAGTCCCCAGGTGGTGAAAAAGGGAATTCGCATACTCGAGGTGAAGCGGTGAGGGCAGAGGGAGAAATCACTAGGCCCCCTGTAGGAGCCTCACAGTAGGTTTCGGGGGGAATCTCATTGGTGAGTGTATCGCATCACGTCCTTCCTCTCTTGACACCTCCCTTTCCATGTTGTGGAAAACAGCCCCATTTTTGCTGCTTCCCATATTCCTGGCACAACCAAATCCTGACCTTGCTTTAAGTTAGGATAAGAGGAAGCTGCCTACCGAATTTGGTGGTCCTAGCTGTTACCATTTAGGAGGAGTTCTTGTACAAACAGACACATGGACGGACAGACGGACATTTTATTTCTAAAATATATATATAGAGAGATGTAGGCCTCAATAATTATTCTAGTAGTGCTAATTCTAGTAGTGCTGGCCTAAATGTTTAATAAATGCAGTGTCTTATAGAATACTTAAGTAGTATGTTATCAATTTAGACATTTCATAGTTTTTCTCCCCTGAGCAAAAGTGCAGTTACTAAAGAACTCTGGCTGGTCTGTCATTCTCATATCAGCTGGGTTCTTTCTCCTTTCTCGCTGGTAGTGTTCTTGGACTGTGCTCCAGTTCTTCATCATTTGTCGGTGGCATCAGTGCCAAGACAGGCTGCCCCATGCAGAATGTGCTTGGCAGCTGCAGGCTCCAGATGCTGGGCCGTGGAATGTGTTTTTCCAGCAGCAGCATATGAGACTGTGGCTGGCGTCCTGGCTGGCTTTTTTCAGCCTTTTGGCTGGTTGCATTCTTGGCTCTGGTGCCAGGTGTTAAACTGATTGGGAATGGGACACAGGCAGCATCTTTCTGAATAGCTTTTCTTTTTAATTCTCTTCTTACTGTGAGGCAACATTTTCTATAATTTTCTTTTAATTTGATTCCCTGCTTATTTGTCTTAACTAACAAAGCTTGTGTCACAATAGGAAATGTGGTTTTCTTAATGTCTCAGAGATTGACTTGATCTTGACAATTTAAAGCATCACACAATGTTCTAGCACGGTATTTTTGTTGTTCTCAACTACTCTCCTATAAAGTAACTTTCTCCTTTTGCAGGGACTGAACAGGCTGTTTCTGTCACAATAGCCACCCACTGTATGTGCTACCCCTTCCCCCGCACCCTCTTTAAAGCTACAGCTGTGTGCTCAGGCTCGCAGGACTCAAAATGTTTCGATAGCTGGGTTTGTTGTTTTATAAACTCCCCCCACCGCACGTGCTGGCAATAGCCATTTATGTTGTGGAAATGAAGTTGAAATTTGGTCTTCTCATATTCAGGCCCACCAATGGGATGGGGAGGTGAAGGGCTGGGTATGCAAAGGAGATAGCTGCTCTGGGGCATGGTGATTTAAAAGGGCCTGAGGCTCCTAGTCATCACTACTGCTACCTCTAGCGGCAGCGGCTGGACCCTGGGCCATTTAAATTGCTGCTGCAGCGCGGCATGAAGGACTGGCTGGGGGAGGCTAATTTCCAGCTCTGCCCCTTCTGCTAAGGCTCCACCCTTTCCATGGGGCCCAGAGCCAGGCCTCTGCAGCCCCAGCAAAATATGTCCTCAGCCCGGTTGGCGGTATTTCTACTACTTGTGGGGTGTGGGGCAGTAGATATTGTGTTATTCCAGGCTATATTGAGTGTTTCCAGGAAGCATGATTAAAGTCAAGAGAGAAATATAAACACACATGCAAATGCCATCAGCCACACACATCCCTATTCAAAAGTTTGGGTGGGAGAAATTCTCATGATAAACTGTTACACTAGATTGACAGCTATCATGACAAAGAGCATATTGTTGGGTAGTCCAAATAGCACTAAATCCTCGAAGTATGAAGAAAACCACACTTACTTGCAAATTTGAACTGCATTTAATCAGGCAACAGGGAAAAACAGAACCACCATGCTGCTATTATGGCTGTGTCAGCCTTTCTCCTGGAAACCTTGGGTTTATTTTTCCATACTGCCTAATTAACTACCATTTAAATTGTCATGTAAGATTGACTTATTTTCTTCAAGATGGCCTAATTTAATTCTGTTTGACAAAAACATGGAACTGTGTCAGAATGCCTGCACATTGTATTGAGTTAGTAGCTCTGGGGTGGTATAGTAAACTAGCTCTCTCATGTTCCAGATACTTGCAGTGGAACACAAAACCCAGATCTGGATTTTTAACTTCCTGAAGTTCAAGTCAGTTGGATTCATGGTTTTGGTTTGAGCCATTTTCGTTTATGGATCAGTCTAAATGGCAGTGTGACTCAGAACACACCTGATTTAACCCTTGGAGAACTGAAATGGGGAAGGGTCATTCTTAATGACACTGACACACTGAGGATGAGTTTATTGGTCTTCACCTAACTCTCCTGGCAGCTGTTCTTTTCTCTCCTCAAAATAAAGAGGCTCTTCCTGCAGTCCCCCATGAAGTACTGCAAAACTGTTCTCCTCAAGTATCTCCACGCTTTCTCCAAGACTTCCTCCATGCCAGTTCCTTCAGCTCCTTCAAAAAAGTGCTTAAGTAATGTATAGACCTTGTGTCAGCCTTCTGCATAGGGATGAATTTCATCCTCAAGTAGTTTCTAAGTAAAGATTGGACAGTGGAGAAACTTGCAGTGAATTTTGCCGAGACTAGATTTATTATTACTGCTTTCATTGATACCAAACAACATAGACATTAGCAGAAGATGTTTATAATCATATGAATTCTTGAGAATGAGTGTTCTGAAGAAGAGGGGTTTTTTTTAAGCCAGAAAGCATAGATTTGTTTCAAATACAATGTATTGCATTAAATAAAAGGTATTGCATTCTCTGTCTTACATGCATATAAAATAGCAGAAAAATCTTGTTGAAAGGGAAGTAGCAGTGAGAAGGGAGCAAATGAATGTGTGAGAATTTACGCAAGTTACTGTATTTTTGTGCCTCAGGCACCCCTTTAGCAAAACTGGTATATTAATGTTCACCCGGTTTTGTAAAAGTTTTAAATGCATTTCAAAGACTGGGATTGCACATCTTAGAGAAGAGATATGACTAAGCATGAGACATGACAAATGTCTGAATAGTCCCAAATGATGAGAAAGTTAATAAGGAAATGCTGTTTTCCCCTTCAAATAACTCAAGAATGAGAGGTCACCCAATTATATTAATAGGCAACAGATTCAAAACAAACAGAAGGAAGTATTTCTTCATGAAATGTACAGATAACCTATGGAACTCCTTGCCAGGGTAATGTTGTAAAGGATAAAAGTATAACTGGGTTCAAAAGATAATTGGATATGTTCACGGAGGATAGATCCATCAATCACTATTAGTCATGTTTGTCTAAGAGACAACCCTTTGCTCTGAGTGGCACTGAGCCTCTGATTGACAGATCCAGGGATTGGACAAAAGGAGAGGGATCACTTGATGATTGCCCTATTCTGTCCATTCCTTCTGAAACATCTGGCATTGGCCACTATCAGACGACAGGATATTGGAGTAGCTTGGGGTGGGCAAAAGGGCCTCCATGGGCTAGATGCAGCCCACCAAGTGGGTGGATCCGGCCCGCAGAGACCCTGCTGCTCCCCTGCCCCCAGGCCAATTAGGGCCTGGGGGCAGGGGAGTGCCCGAAGCCTTCTCCACTATGCCCCCACCCTGTGAGCAGAGCATGGCGCTTCGAAGCGCCGTGCGCTGCTTGCAGGGTAGGGACAGAGCGGAGAAAGCTTTGGGCGCTCTCCTGCCCCCAGGCCCTAATTGGTCTGGGGGTTGGGTGAGCATGCAAAGCCTCCTCCCGCCCTGCCAGGAGCACATGACGCTTAGAAGTGCCATGCGCTTCTTGCAGGGTGAGGGGGGAAGAGGCTTCATACGCTCTCCTACCATGTGCTCCTCGCAGGCCTGATTGGCCTGGGCAGGGGCAGATGATTTTGCGGGGCCCAGGGCAGCACAATTTCATGGGGCCCCACCCTTTGACACGGCGCATGCGCTGTGGTGCCACCGTGCATATGCGGCACTTCTTGAAGCCCGGGGCCGCCCCACTCACCCTGCCCTATATCCGCCCCTGGGCCTCGGGGTAGGGGAGCGTGCCAAGCCTCTTCTAGGGCATGGATGCCTAGTGGGGAGAGAGGGCAAAGGGGCTCCCCCAGACCAATCATGGTCTTGGGATAGGGTAGCTCTTCCCCTTCCTGTTTAGGCCCCGCTCCTTCCGGGGTGTCCCCGGAGCAACTTCAAAAAATTTTTAAGTGGTCCCCAGGCAAAAATTATTGCCCACCCCTGGGGTAACTGGACCTTTGATCTAACCCAATATGGCCATTCTTATGTTCTCTAGTAAGACAGCCAGATCCATGTTTGGTAAAAATTAGTTTAGTTCCCCTGACATCAATTAACCACCCTCATTTCTTCTAAATTGAGTGCCCTCTGGCCCTCCCTCCCATAGCTGGACCTGATCTCTCAGGATTTCGGCAGGCTTCGCTATTCAAACGTCTGGTCTCTGCATCTCGTGGCATGGAAGCTCCATCTCAGCTTTCCGTTCGGGGTTCTGGGGTAAGAGGGTCTTTGCAGACCCTATGGGGCACAGTTTCTGTAAGGAGTTGGATAGGGTATATCCTCATGTGCGTCAGCCCCTACCCCGTGGGACCTTAACTTGGTGCTTAAGTTGATGGCTCCCCCCTTCGAGCTGTTAGCAATGTGTTTGCTGTTGCACCACTCCTGGAAGGTGTCCTTCTTTGTGGCCATTACCTCCACTAGGCAGGTTTCAGAACTGCGAGCCTTAACTGTAGACGCTCCCCTTGTACAGTCTGTTTTAAAGATAAAGTCAGATTTGACCCCACCCCATGTTTTTACTTAAAGTGATGTCTCATTTCCATGTCAATCAGGATTTATTTTTACCTGAAACCTCACACGTTGGGAACAGAGCAGGCTCTCTTCACACCTTAGACCGGGGTGGGCACCGGAAGGGAGGAGCCTAAACCGAAGGGGCAGGGCCATGATGTTTCTGGGCTACCATGATTGGTCTGGGGAGGGGAAGCCCCTTTGTCCCCCCTTCCCACTAAGCACCCATGCCCCGGCAGGGCGGGAAGAGGCTCTGCACGCTCCTCCACCCCCAGGCCAATCAGGGCCTGTGGCTGGGGGCGCTGCGCGAAGCTTCCTTCGCCCTGTCCCTGCGCCTTGTGTGAGCGTACAGCACTTTGAAGTGCCGTACACGCCTCGCAGGGCGGGCGGAGGGCTGAGGAAACTTCGCATGCTCTTCCCGCCCCCAAGCCAGTCAGGGCACCTCGAAGAACAGCAGTTATGAGAGGTAAGGAACCGTTTTTTATTTTGCATTGAAATCTTTTGAGGCTTCTGGTTTCACATTGGTTTCAACAAGGAGCCAGTGCAGCTACACTGGTTTACATTAGATGAGGTTGTGGCCTGTTCAGTGTTAAATGCAAAGCATCATTACTACTAAGCATAATAAGAGAATACAGAATTATTAAAAGTACTTTGAAAAAATGGTTTTATTGGGTTATGGCCCAAATCAAAATCCTGTGTTCCAAACATCTCCCATATTTCGAAGCATGGCCAGATATAGGCTTGAGTATTGTGGCTTGGACTGTCACATGATGTTTGGTCCCTTTAAAAGTGAACAGGATTCAATGCCCCTGTGACTGATTAGCTTCCTCCTAACTGGGCTTAAAAGAGGGCACCTGAGCCCTAGCAGGACAGGGATCAGTTAGGGGAAATGTGGAAAACTTCCTCAGAGCACAGACTGACAGGGCAAGTGACAGAGAAACTGAAGAGAGCAGAAAGGTCTGCAGGACGTCCTGGTGAATAGGGAGGAATCGGTGAGATTACCAGAGGTGCTAGCTTGCTGATTTACCAAGATGGAGGGCCAGTGCTGGGAGTCTATAAAAAGCTAAAAGGAAAGAGACCAGTGGAGGGGCTAGCCTGTGGATATTCCAGAGCCAGAGGGCCTGTGTTGGAGGACTGAAAATGGCTGAGGGCTGTGACCAGTATGGGAACTAACTTCATGACCTTCCTGAGGTGGGGAACCCCAGAGGCAGGACGTCGAATAGAGGGGAGTTCCTGTGTTTGGGTAGAAGACTCATGAGACTAGTCACTCTCAAATGGATGGCTGGGAGGATGAGGTCCTAGACACGGGCAGAAAGGAACCGGGATCAAAGTTCTGGTGGATTCGTTTGGTGGGTTATCTGAAGTGATGCTGAGAAAGTGGGGAATGGAAAACACTTTGAATTTCACTCTAGCTAGGAACTGGAAGAATGGTTTTCCCATGACGATTCTACAGAATATTATGTGTGCCATGCATAAATTACACCCACAGGTGAGACTTTGAACTGGACAGTGAGAGAGACTGTGCTCTTTTTAAGTTAGAACTGAGGGAGAACTGAGGCAGGTGGGTTTGTTGTACCACAACCTATATCTGGTGTGGCTGCTTTGACAGGGCTCATCTGTAATGACCACTGATGACTTTGGCATCATTTTGTCTTGAGCTTGTTATCATATATTCATGACTGTACCTGTCCTGGGTACTATGACACTACAGTGTCTGCACAAGGCAGCTGCCATAAGATTGCGTAAAAGACTAATTGGAACCAGTCTGCTGCTTTAATCAGAAAATTTCTCGGGATTACAGTTTTAAGGTTAGATACTATTTCCACTGAAGCTGGTCAGAGTTTGGCCAGGACTAGGTTCATAAATGGTATTCAATGATCAAGAAGTTACTTTAAAAAAATTGATATATACCCTTGGAGTAGTGCAGCCAACACTTAAATAATCTTAATGATAACTATTAAACCCATAAAATCATTGGTTGTAATGTCATGGTCAGGTTGGAATTGAATTTGAAATTGATAAATTGATAAGCATTTGACTTGTTTACATTTTCAGATAGTGTTCTATATTAATTTAGTTGATGTGTTTGAAATGTTATCCAAATTAAGTTTAATAAGTACACAATGTTCTTAGTCATTTGAAAAATAAATTGCAACAAAACTTGTGATTGATTGATTGATTGATTTTTTAATTTAACATACTGACCACAGAGAGAAGAACTATACAGAATGGTTTTTCCACAAGTGTGACAAAATTGCAGTGATTTCCTTCCTCTCATTTTACCAAAGTTAGTCATTGTACAACATGTGGATATGTAAATGCACTTCATTTGTTAAGAGATGGCATATTAAAATTAGTCTAGCTGTGCCTTTAATGTTAGTATGTAAAGCTGTTATATTGTACCAAAAAGAATTATGTTGATTTTTGTAATGCCACTCAACTTGGGCTTTTTTAAAAAACTCTGTTTACATTACTTGTAAGTAGAATAGTCTTTTATATACAAATGGAATTTTACCCACATTTTGCTTTCAATAGTCTAAATATGGTCTGTGTTTGGTTTGATGCATCTCCAGTGATTCCATATTGGGGGTAAACAAATAGATTCTTCTAGGAGGAAAAAAGAGCTAGCCCTCTAAAACAGTCCATACATGTATTTTACGCACTGGAAAAGGAAACAAGCTTTCTCTGTTATTTTGGGCACTAGCCCTTCTTGACTAATCATGGAATCTCATTGCTGTTACTCAGCCCTTGCTCTTATTGCCCCTTACTACAGTTTATTGCCTCCTTCATTGTTCTGTGTCTAAAATTAAATTTCCATCTCTTTGAGGCCAAAGACAATATCTTCTTCCTTGTACTAGAAGGTGGCTAGCAGCCTGGTACACTTCAAATGAATATAACAACAATGAACAATCGGTGTATGTTACGAGACTCGTATTTGTTTTAGCTAGAGTTTGTAAATGAGTTATACGTACTGCATATTTTTTGTCATATATACATTTACTCTCTTTTCTTTTATTTCACATGTAATAAAGAAGTAGTCCGGGATTCTACTAAATTTCTGATGGGCTCAAACGTATCACTGGAATCCAATGTTACAAGGAAAAAGATAGATTCTGGTAAGATTAATTATGAAGACCATGTCACAGTCACTCAGAAATGGGGGGTATTGATAAAATTGCCTTTTTAGATGTCAGTGAAACAAAACAAAACACATCTCTACTGCAGAAGATAAAAAAGGATGGCTCAGTTTTCCTCAGAAAAGTATGTCCTAATGGCTCAGGAAACTGGTGATAGAGTAAAGAAATTTACATTTCCAGATCATCAGTTCATGTCCAGTCCAGGCTGCTTGTGAACAAATGTTGTTGCCATCTGCTGGCGGTTTGGCAAGCGATGTAGTGACCAATTCTTAATGGTCAAGCGGCCAAGTTACAAAACCACCGTCAGAATTGGCACTGGTTGGCACTTTTGTTGGATGTTCCAGGAGAAACCTGCAGATGGGGTTAGTGTAAATGAGACTAAATTACCATCTAATCCGTAAGGACACACACTACAGGCTAAGCTTGAGGACAGTTAGGAAGGCAGTGTGAGGAACCTGCGCTTCCTCTGTTCTGTGCCAGTTTTGTGGACAAAGAGAGGATCCCATGGATATTCTAATTTTGTAAAGCCTTCATGTTATCAAAATAAAAAAATCACTCTGTGCTTTAATGAAGTTTTTGTGGACCACCCAACAAATTACTCATGAAAGAAATATATATGTGGTATCTTTCTGTCTTGGTTATAAAAAAGCATAGCAACTGTTGCATTGGCATTTCTGTTCACTAACATTTAATCTGAGAAAAAATTAGCATCTCTGTGAAGTTGTGCATTCATTTGCTTTTATGCTCTTACTGATGTTTTTGAAAGGGCTTTACCTTTTGAATCCTGTATGGTGAAAACTTGAAAGAATATGTACAAAGAAATGCCTCCTAAATTAATTATAAACTGTGGTGGTTTCTGTAATCCCTACCTAGAATACTGGCAGTTAATTTACTTGGGTAAAAAAAAAAGAGAAGAAAGTCTTACTGTTGAGATTTGGCATTTCAGTCCCTTAAAGTTTATCCAGTCTAAAAATTGTACTTCATGGGGATTAACTGTTATTAGCTGCATCCAAGCATTAAGGTGAAGCCAAAGATGGCTATGAATTGTAGTTTACTAGTTCACTTTTTCTCAACTTAGGTAAGTGGTATATATACCCTTCTGGGATTTGAAGAGTTTAAAATGACACATTATACATATGAGTTTTGAAGGAAATCTACATCTGTTTTTATTCACTTGGTACATTATATATTTAATGGCAAGACTTTAGAGTTCTGGAGTAAACCAATACCTTGAATTGTAGTCAAAATGGACTGTGGACTATACTGCTGTTTTGTCATTTTCCTAAATAAGAGTGGACTGTAATATATATTTTTTTTAAGATCAGTGCTGTTCATGAGGTCTACCTACATTCAGATTCAAAGATAAATCAGAACTTGGAATAAGTTAGCATAAACCTGGCTTCATTTTTAACACACTTTATTTAATCATTTAAATTTCTGAAAAAAATTAAGCATATCCAAAAATCTAGGAGCCCTGCCACTGATGCCCTTAAATAAGGTGTAGGCAAAATACATTGAAATATGCAGGTTGTTTTGAGCTTGTTACTCTCTTGTTACATTCTTTGAGCAGTTAAGCACCCTCAGTTTTCATGGAGGTGAATGAGAGTTGAAAAAATGGAGAAAAAATGAGCCCTTAAAAGTTTTCATGAAACTGATTCCATTACAAATGTCAGGTATATGAGATATTTCCTACAATTATATTATTTGTAATTGATTATATATCTGATCACTGTGTCCAAAGTAAATAAAATATGTTGATTTGGTGGTGTTATGGAAATAACAGAAACTATTCAAGAACATTGCAGGGTGGATGTGTTTTTGTAGTTCATGTTGTTTTTCCAGACGACATTGCAGTAGGCTCAATACCATGCATAAATTCCATTGAGAAGTAATATGTTGTACCTTTACATAGCTTCTGGACACTACCAAAGGTTTTTATAATATGTAGAATATACGGCAGATACTACTGGAAAATATTTGCTAGTTTTCATCATACAATTACCTCAGGCAGGCCTGCTGACAGGGTGCAATTGCCCTGGCAATTTAAAGGGCCTGCTGCTCTAGGCCCTTTAAAATCACCGCTGGAGCGCACTCCAGGCAGTGTTAAAGGCGGGGGGATACCATGCTCCATGCGATGTTGAGAGGGGGTTGTACTCAGCTCCACCCCTTCCAGTAGTACAGAGCTGGGTCCCCTCACTCTTTGCCCAAGAGCCCGTGGTGGTTCCACTTACCTCAGATATTCCTCATTCTAATCTTAGGAAAAAGGGCATTAATTGTAGATACCACTGCATTTCATCCTGTCAGGGATTTAAAAATGAAAATAAAAACCTCAAATAACGATTCTTAAAATGCTACGGTCTCCAAATATAACCTAATTTTAAATCAAGTGGGTACAAGATTACCTCCAGTCTCACTTTTTCACCTCATTTGGGGGATATTTCCATTATGATTCACAAGTGGGTCTTCAAGTCCAAAATGGAAGAAGAATCAAGTCAAAGTGGAGAATCTGTCTATCCAACTTAGACATTTCTAAATATCACCCCAAATGAACTCAGAATTCATTTTCCACTCCCCTTACTACATTTATAAATCTGTGTATGCTTCTTATGATCTGACGTACTACATGCAGCCAGTATTACATTAACAGCCAACTGTGTTGTTGACATTGGCAGCATTATGAGCATTATCTTATTCTTGAACAATTCCTTGTGTGAGATGCATGAAGTCTTCTTTTTAATGTAAATCATGCACATCTCTAACTTTATGGACTCTCTTTAATAAAAGAAAAAAGAGCAGACATGTTTCAACATGGATTATAGAAGAAAACTCACACTTTTTATTTAAATTTTATTTCTCCTGTTTTCCGAGGTATTGGTGAAAACAATGGCCAGTTGTGATTCACATTTACACTGTCTTTTTTAAAGCTACTTCTTCAAAACATACTGTGTGCTATAAACGCTTTTGTGATCTTCTGGGGGAAAAAACCCACTCTTCTCACTGGGCATTGAGAGAGCTTTTCCTCTATGCATGATGCACATTAGAATGATCAGTTCAGACGTAGTAATATCTGATTGATCTGGTTAGGTTCTATGTCCAGTTTTGCCATTTTTATAAGTAAGACCAGCAAGCTGTTTTGTCTGAAATAGTCATCATCTGTAATTGAAGAACCTGAATCTTCTATGGGTTATTTTATTATTTAAAAAAAAATGGATATGTCACTGCAAACTTAAACAGCAGTTTACATACATAGCTGTTCCTCCCCCTAGGAATGTTGTATTTTGAGGTATACACGGTACTATACATTTCTTTGTATAGTTTCTAGCACAACACAGCCGTTGGACACAACAATAATAAAAGTGTGGGAGTGACTTCTCATCAGTAGTATCCAAAATGAGCTAAAAGTCTTGTTTCAGCGTTGTAGCAAGACGTGTTCACAGTGCAGTAAAACCTCAGAGTTGCGAACAGACCACTCAACCACACACCTTATTTTATTTGAAAGGGGAAATAAATAATCAGGCAGCAACAAGAAGAAAAACTGCAAATGCGGCACAAAATTGTATTAAAAATAAAGGGAAAGCAGCATATTTTTTCTGCATAGTAAAGTTTCAAAGCTGTATTAAATCACTATTCAACTGCAAGCTTTTTTAAAAAAAATGTAACATTTTGTTCTGTTATAAACAACCTCCAATTCCAAGATGTTCATAACTCCTGATGTTCTATGGTACAAACTGCCTTCACAATTGCCACTCTTGTCAGTAGGATTAGTAGAAAAAACAAGGACAGAATGAGAGAGGCAGATTTTCCAGTTTGTTAACCCCTGTAAGAGAGATCTTCAGATAAAAATTGAAACATATTGGACATTGAGTTTAGGGAAGTTTGGACTACCCAGGCTGTGCCTCTTTCATAACTAATTTACATCTTCCTTCAATGTTGTTAAAAATAAAATAATCACTTAGTGTTTTGGATGATACTTCCAGTGTCACTGTAGCTAGCTTTGTCATAAACAGAAATGTAAGGCAGTGAAAAAATACAGCATTCATAAGATTTAGGAATAGGACACTTTTACAAAATTCCAAATAGTCTCAGGTATGTAACCTGTCAAAGAAAATAGAGGTTCAAATGGACTGTCTTGACTGCCTTCCTTTGATGAGGGCTTGGTCTGCAGGCATGCACTTTTCTTACAGAGAATTTAGGATTCAGTATATAACTCCATTTCTTTCCCTTTTCTTGTTAGCATGTGCCATAACATTTTGTTTAGGAAGTCAAAATGTAGCTGTTAGGCCTGTTTCTCTTTCTGATTACATGGCTTGTGATTACACAGCTAACAGTACTGCCTTGTGACTTTATACAGTAGCTATACCACCTGACAGTCGGCATCCTCCCGTAGCTCCTGCGAGGCCTACACAGGTGCGAAGAAAACCTTTGCCTCCAAACACAGTGACTGGTAAACCAGGAAGTCCAGGTATATATCAGCCTTTTCAGTTTTCATGGTTTTGATTGTTATGATATGCTGAATAGCTTTAACTGCCATTGATATCCAGGGGAATTCAGCACACTCAGAACTTCACAGGATCAAGTCCTTTTTTTAGGCAAGTTCTGCAAAGTTCCCACTTACATTTCCTTGGATATCTATTTTGTGCACACACAGGGTATATCTGATAAAGTACAGGCAGAATATGACTTGCACCTAAGTTATCCTTCTGAGATGAATATGTCTAATACTCTTTTGCCTAAACACATAAGATCATTTCCTTCTCCTACCAGATTTCTGTATAATCTGTCCTACTGATGCAACTGAAAGCATAATGGAGTGATGAAAGTTATGTCAGTATTTCCCTTTAAAAGAGCTTTAGTAGATCTTTTTGGGTACATCTACACTGCAACACTATTTTGGGATATCTTCATAGCAAGCCCACTATTTCAGGCTCACTATTCTGACATCCCTATAAACCTCATTCTACGAGGAGTAAGGGGTCTTTTGGAATAGTGGGTTATTTTGAAATTTGGTGCTGTGTAGACAGTGCCAAATGACTAAATAGTGTTGAAAAAAGATATACATTTTGCTTGGCTCAAATTGTGTATCTTGTTTTGAGTTACAGTGCAGTGTAGATGCACCCTTTTTGACCAGTAATAGCATTTACAGTTATCTCATGCACGCTTCAGCTAGAAGTAATCAATTGTCATGCTACAAGACACATCAGTAACTGATTATTTGTAAGAAGCAGGAAGGAAAAAATGTTGTCCAACATATGCAGCATTACCGAATTTTCAGGGGAATTTACCTGTAAATAATTAGGGTTGAGGTTTGCAAAGCAGTTAATTGGATTTAACCGTGTATTTTATATTTAAAATTAATGAAAAATGTGTGCCTAAATCCCATACACTGCTTTGAAAATTGCAGCTCATCTATTTACTATTACTAGAGGCAGGAAATCAGAACTATAAAGACTAATTTTATCTGTTTTAATATGATGAATACATCTTGTAATTTCAGTATTCCTGGGTTTACATAGTATATTTCAATGCCTACAATAAAATATATAAAGCAGACAAAATAGGAAAATCCTGAAGTACTTCCTAATAAAACTGTACTTCATGGTTTATTCTTCTAAAAGATTACTAGTACGATGCATTATGTAGACAGTTTTGAGCCTACATCCAGTAAATGTATTGCAAATTCACTAATTCTGTTTAGCCCAAACTGCAGAATTACTTCTGTTAAACTGTATCATATACTACAAATATTTGTGTGGTCTATTTATTAAAATAAATCCATTACTATGGACAACATTAGATTTAGTTCTATGGGTTTGGGATTTAGTGCAAAATTGTGTTAACTGAAAACCTTGGTATAAGTCAGTTGACAAATAAAAGAAAGAAATTAAGAATGGCTCTAGCTATATAGCCTTCATTATTATTTTTAGATTATGATATAGATAGATCTATAGCTATAGTTTTCTCTCTCTCTCTCTCTTTATATCTATCTATCAATCGATCGTCTTTTGGGTGGATTTAACCATTGATTAGAGTGAGAGGCAGCTGGGTCTAACTAGAGGCAGGCAAATGTGATTCAAATGTATCCCAGTCAGATCTTCTAATTACACCCCAATCCTGACCTGTGTGAGTTCTGGAGTAAAGATTACGAGTTGTGTAAATTGATGTGCATTCAGCACTCTGTTCAGCAGATGAAACTCACTTTGTTGAGACATTAACCCATTTGCCCCAAGTCTCCAGTATTGAAATGTTGGTGTTGCATCAAAGTATTTATATAACCTATTTCTTGTCTAATCACATGTATTAATAAATGAACATTAAATGTTCTGGGCCCTCCCCCCGCCCCAATTGACATGGTAATAATTCCGGATGTTAGCTAAGACAAATATTAGCTGATTAACATATATTTTAATTTTGGTTATACTTAAAACAGGTTGGGGCAATTTCATCCTTGGTGTTATTCCATTGATTTAATGGACTCATATCTGAGATTGGGTGCAGATTCAGCTCATTGTTACACTTGTGCCGTGGTCCCCAGACTGTGGGTTGTGTCCCCATGAGGGACATTGCTGGGGTGCATGGTAGGGCCCAGGTCAGGTATGGAGCACCATCCAGCCCCCCTCTATTTCCAACACAGTTCTACCCCCAGATGCAGCTCTGCTCTCCCCCTTGCTCCAGCTCTGCTCTGCCCTCATTCCCTCTCTCCCTCCAGCCCAACTTCCTCTATTGAGGAATGCTGCAGACCTGAAGGGGAGCATAGATAGATTCCATTACTGGCAAGGGGGTCATGACAGGAAAAGTTGGGGTGCCACCTTTTTTTATTTTGTCCTCTTTGATGTTTTGTGTATTTCCAAGGCACATAGGCAAGTACAATCCCCACATATAGCAGGAACTGCATTTTTTCTTCACCACTGCAGCAGTGGTACAGCTACTTTGTTTTTCTCACCTCTCTGTATGACCACACAAAGGGCAATCACTCTGTAGTCCTATTGGTGAGATGACTTTGCAGTAGAGCCAGCTGTATTGTGCTGCTAGCTAAATACTTCAGCTCATTGTATGGCAGATGAGAAGCAGAAATCCTAGTGCTTAAAGTAGACACTTCGTGTCTCCTCAACAATGGCTGTGCCAAAAATCTACTCCTTGTGTCCACACTTGCAGTAGGATGATGGTATTAATAATGGCTTTACCAGATATAGAAATGCTTATGTCATAAAGCACGTGAAAAATTGACCCAGTGTGTCTTACACTTTGAATGTTATTTGGTGCTACTTTTTCTCAGTTAAATCTTTAATTCATCTGCCAATGTTTCCTATTTTCATCCTCTGTATTCCCACAATTTAGAGGCCAGTTTTACATATTAGCCAGTAAGAGTCATAGAATCCTGGATGTTAAAGATGGAATAAACTAGTTAGATCATCCAGTCCATCTCTCAGGGCCAGGATTTTCTTCTATCATACATTTCCTAATGTTTTGTCCAATTTAGTTTTAAATGACCCGAATTATGGAGCTTCCACTAATCCTTCTGAGAAACTATTCCACAGCCTTAATTTATCTCATGATCAGGAAACATTTGCCTCCTGATACAGTTTGCATTGATTTTTCCCTTTCATAATTTTGTCCAATGTTTCTTTCTTCTACCACTGCTAGAAATTATTTATTAACATTTACATATATATTACACACACACACACACACACACACAATATTATGGGATGAATTATTGCTTAGCCATTCAAAATATCCGAAAAGGTAGTAAGAGATTTCTATAAACATCCTGAAATTTGATGGGAAGAATTAAAGTCTTATAGGAAATTCCCTTTTTGTCCTTACATCTGTTTGAAGGACTCTTTGTAGTGTAGATGGGAAGTAGTGTTCTTGTGTATCATTCAGAGCTGGGCAAATAACAAATATGTTGCAATTCAGAAAAATAAAAAATAAATTTTATTTCAGATGAAAATTTTTTTTTAAAATTTTTGGCAAGCTGAAAAGTCAAAGTAATTTTTTTTTAGTTGAATGAAAAGTTAGGTTTCTATTTAAAGCATTTTACTGTGTGTTTATAAAATTAAAGACATTTTTGAAGTGGAAAGTCATTTTTCACCAAAAAAAAATTAAATGTTTTGTTTGGAGGAATTTGCTTTTACTGAAAATTTGACAAATTTTCTGACACAAATTTGCAGAAATATTTCAAAGTTAGCAAATTGTATTTATCAGCAAAAAATGTTTTGTGTGGGGAAAAATATTAACTATACCTTGTGAGACCAAGCCGAGACCAAGGATGGATTATATAGTATTTGAGCTCTTGAGGTTTGCCAGGCAATATTGTTTCAAAAAATATCTTCCCTTTTTCAAATGTACTTTTGGTCTTCCACTTTCCTTTTTGAAAAAAATAGAAATCGTTTCACATAAACCATCCGCCTCTTCAAAGGTTTCATTATTTAGTTGATTCCATGAGAGAATAAAAACAATAGCTAATGATCTAAAATAATTTAAAATGGCAAATAAATTAGTCATTTGTTTTCAATGGAGAATAATAGGATTACCCTGCCTTCTCAGGATGGATATTGCTGCTTATAATAAAAGATCTGTCCAGCCCAGAATAAAACCATCTACTCACTTTCTGTGCTCAAATTGGGGTACAAATTGTTAGGCAGAACTAATGAAACTTGTGCTGTTTGTCTTGAATGCCTTTAGAGCTGCTCTGTGGAAATACTGTAACAAACTTTTTAGGGATCCAATAGCTGGCTGTGTAATTTCAGCTGTAGTTAGGGCAACCCTTGCTGTCTCACTTTGTTTATATCCATTATCCTTGTTCATACTCTGGACTTGGTAATGTGCCCACCATGTTTAGTATGCAAGTAAAAGGAACTTAAAAATAGTATTACAGTGAAGGACCCCAAGTCTCAGTTACTGAATTTAGCTCTCTCATTATGTGCCTTGTGAAGGGTGAAAACCATCAGCACCAACCTAGAAACAGAGAATTATAGATGGGAGGGGGAAAAGTTTATTGGATAATTTTGTCCGTTTGCCAGTTACTGTAGGATTGTTCCCTGTAGTATATTCAACTAACTATATTCAATTTGTATCTGCTTGTATCCCTCAGAAATATCAAAGATTGAGTGTCTTAGTATTTTCTTTATATATTGGAGGCATAGACTGTATTATTTCAGCCGTAGTCAGGGCTTGTCCAATCTTTTTTGAGTCCAACCGGAAAATGATGTACTTGTGCTGAGCCCCACTTTTCTGAGTAAGTAATTATCAAAAATTTGAGTTGTGCTCAAAAGGAAACAAGATCACTTCTTCCACATAGGAATTTCATCAACATCACGAGCTTCAGCTTCTTCCACGACTTCTGCAGTGAGACCTACTGGCCCAACCAAATCTCTAAAGACAGAAAAACCAAGAAAGAAGCCAACAGTTTCTGCTTCTCCAGAGGAACCTGGTAAGCATGTTGATAGCAATTTAGTTTCTTTGTTTGTTTTTTTCTTAAGTTGAGGGAGCTCCTGTATTAAAGTTCCCTGCAGTTCAGTTACCTGGTTGGATCAGTCATTTCAATTTTTCTTGCGTCTTTTCCCCAAACACTTGTGCTTATTTTAGCTATTTAATATCTGGCCCCGTGGGCTGGTTCTGATTCTGATCTCACACTTCTTCTGCTCTGGTGCAACTCCATTGAATTTAACTGACTTGCTCCTGATTCGCATCTGTGTGAGATCAGAATAAGATCCATTGTCTTCCTAGACATCTGCACGTGTCTCGTATACTTTTCATACTTATGGCGATGCTGTTTGAATTGTGTTGAGTCAGATATAGCCTTCTTTCCTGATAATTTCACTATATGTAACGCTACATATTCATGTCAAGCTGTTACTCATCTGTGATCTACATAGTGATGGTATTGTTGTAAATACCTGCCTTTTTATTCTGATAACCCAGCCCCCTTGCATATAAGAATTCATATGAGATGGGTTCAAATCTCTAGACCTGGATTTTAAACTCCTCTGGCTTTGGAAAAGTTGTGGTTGATATGTTGTAGAGTGAGTAGCAAGGTGCAAAATTTGGATTAGAAGTCATATGCTGAATGATTCCAAAGTTCAGATGTTTTGGGGTTTGTCATTAAATCTGTCCTTCTACCAAATTGTAGCTGCAGTGTATGTGGGCATGGCTGAGCTGTGGTAAAGATTGTTTAGTGTACTTCTTTCACTCGCTGTAACAGAAAGGTTCTTGCCTCTTTGCAGTGATGGTGAATGCTTTATGGCCCAGGCTGCTAACAAAAGCAGGTTTCATGCTAGATTTGTAAGAATGCATGCTGTGAATTTACATTGTGTACAACCAATCAGGTCTTTTCCCAAAAGCAGATAATTGAGTTGGCAGGATTAAACTTGTTCTGGCTAGAAGATCATAGCTTGAGTTACTATTGGAAAATTGTAATTTCTGTTCCTTATTTGGTATGCTTTTTTATAATAATGAGAAGCCACCAGATTCAAACGTATGATAGTCTTTCTTGGAGACCTTTAAAAATAAATGAAAATAGGAATCTAAATAAGTGTTGCTTCACTTGGAGAGTTGCATAAAGTACAAGAGGTTGAACCTTTCTAGTCAGTCACCCTCAGAACCTGACTGCTGCTGAAACAGAATTTGCCAGACCATGGGAGGTCAATATTGTCTAGCAGTATTACCAACGCTTCCACAGTTTACTGGGCTCTTAGAAGACATTTAGGGGTAAATTGAGCTAAATAGCAGCACAGAACACTGAGAGCCATGACTGGTAGCTGTAAACAAATTTTTTGGGACCATGACAAATTTGACCATAGCCATGATAAGAGGATATCTGGCTAACTAAAATCATGCCGGACCATGGATGTTTCCAGATCAGAGAGTGCCGGACTAGAGAGGTTCAATCTGTAGTGTAGTTTGAAATAGTTTAGAGAGCTGAGATTAAAACGAGACACATGCAAAGTATTTTTCTTAATTTTATATAATGTATTATAAAATATGTATTCAAATCTCTTGAGATTTATTAGGCTAAAATACTCCTTTGAAAGATTTCCTACATCTAACTACAATGGTGCCATAGACATTGATGGAAGCAGGGTTCACGTCTGCAGAATTTGGCCCATTGTGTTTGCCATAATTAATATTTTGCACGTGCTTCCACTGGCTTCTGGCATACTTTAACATAGCTGCGAAGACAGATTTAGCCCATGTTCTCCATTTTGATTGTGGAAGTTCCACTTAATCAGTGTAATAGTCTAACATGCTCTCAGAGCCTAAGTTAGACCCTGAGTTAAGGGTGCTGAGTCAATGCAATGCAAAAAGAAACTTGGTAGGAGCTTTAAAGAAGAGTGTGAATATTTTGAATGGCCGGGATCCAACAGCAACGATGAGCTTAGCCATCTGGATAATGATTATCCTTGTTTTGGCTAAGATAGGCCTTTATTTTCCATCACAGCCAAATTCAGGTGATTACTAGAATAAAGCAAAAATGACAGCAAGCATGCACTCTTGAGAGGATTTAAGCAGCTCATGTAGAATGGCAGAAGAAATATGAGGTGTTGTCATTTTAATATTACAACTTCATGCTTTTCTAAGAGTTTCATTGTGATTATGTCTTCATCAGTTAATACAACTGTCTTCAGCTCGAGTCCTACATCCGAGACTGATGTTCAGGGCCAACCACGGTTCAAAGGTATGACTGTGATGACAGCAATCTTTGTGAGCTTTCATGTATCTCCCCATACTTGTGTTACAGTATATATCTGTAGAAGGGTTTGATCAGTAGAGTGCCTCCTCGTGATCAGAAATGGCATAGCAGTTCTATCCTAGTCTGGCATTCCCTGCCAACAGCCACTGTAATTTTCTGGTGGTCTATCTTTTCCTGTGATGTGGCCCTTCAACCAGGTGATGATTTAAGTCCATTCCTCCTAAGGTAACAGAGAACAGTCCAGAAATGTATCAGGTCTTCAGCCCTGATTCTGGTCCCATTGTTGTTACTCCCTTCTCTCAGAACTTTCCATTGTCACTTTCTCCTTCTCTGACCTAATGTCTGCTCAGCAGTGGCTGGTAAGGGAACCTGGGCCCTTCCACTAGACCACCTTCTAGCTCAGGGACGCCATCAGCAAGGAGTGCTTCATCCAACTCCTTGCTGTTGTTTCCTTGGATTTCCCAGCCTTTCCCAGGCCTTCATCCCCACAACTCTCTGGGCTCACTCTTCTTTCAGGGCTGGAATCCCCCTAACGAAAATCCAAAAGTAAAAGCAGAAAGTTACACACCATCTTCGCCTCCTCAGGCTCTCGCCACTGTGTGATCCCTGGCCAGGTCTACAATGTGATTTTATCTGTAAAGTGGTATCTTTCAGGGATGTGAAAAATTCACCTCTGTGAGATGTAGCTATACCAACTTGACCCCTGGGGTAGAGCACATAGGTTGGTGGAAAGAATTCTTCTGTCAGCGTGGCTGCTGCCTCTTGGGAGGTGGATTATCTATTCCATCAGGAGAATCCCTCCCATCAGCACAAGTTATGTCCACACTGAAGCAGTACAACTGTGCTGCCATAATGTTCTGAGTATAGACAAGCCAGCAGAGAATAACTAAGGAGTACCTGCCTCTTTTCTTGCTATCCTTTTCTACCACAGTTTCCTATTTTTATATTAATCCCCATCTCTTCCCCATCAACATGTGGGACTGACCTGTCTTCCAGGTAGAGCCAAGTACCATAATTGAGCTCTCTAGTGCCAGTTAACACTCATCATACCACTGTGGGGTACACAACCTATTGCAATAATCTGCTTAGTTGTTTCTTCCAAATTTCTGATTTTTTTTCAGTTACATTTTGATAACAGGACTTTAAAGTAGACCATTTAATCATTCTTGACTGCATTTTATCTCAATTTCCCTGCATCTCATACCACACCCACCAGCTCCTACACTGGAAGATGGGAAACAAATCTTCTAGAAACCATTTCACCTCTGGCCAACCATTGTGCTAATGCATGCTGTTCATACTCTACTGAAATCATAATGGAGTGTCCTAATATACTTTGCAAGCCGACCCATGCAGGCTTTGTCTGTTTATTACCACTGTGTCTCAAGTTGTGCTTTACCCTATGGATTGCTCACCCGACCAAATATTATAGGGTGGTTAACCCCTTCTTACAGCTAAACCCCACTGTTGCCAGTGGACCTGACCATAAAGTCTACATTGGGCAAGAAAATACATCAGTCACTGTTGTAATTGTCTTTTAAACAAATCATGCATTTCTTTCAAACAGAGAGACACTGTTGAGTATTAAAAAGAAACTTGAAGCATGAGAGTGCAGAATTACTGAAATAGCTCCCACGTACACAGAGGAAGAATTTACCCTCCCCAGACCAATCCTGCCTCTTTCTTGTCTATGCACAGAAATTGTTGAATGGGCAATTAAAGCTACATTAGTACTCTGTGTCTCTGACCTAATAAAACTTTCCATTTTAAGGCTAATACATTCTTTATCACTTTCATTAATCTTGTTTTATAATGTCACTACAGAAGCAAAACTCTTGCCTTTTAAAGGCTTGATCTTGCACTATTTAAGTCTATGGAAATTTCCCCTTGACTTCAGTAATTGCAGGATCATACAGTTAAAAAATGGAAGACCCTGCATTAAATTTAGTACCTATTTTGCAGAAAGTAGACAATGATTGTTATGTCTTATTGGAGCAGCTGGAGCAGCAAATAGGATCATAGGACCATAAAAATGTAGGGCTGGAAGGGACCTTGAGAGCTCATCAAATCCAAACCAGTGTGCTGAGGCAGAACCAAGTAAAGCTAGACAAGTGTTTATCTCACCTGTTCTTTAAAACCTCCAAAATTGGTGACTTCTTTAACTTCCCTTGGTAACTTATGTCAATGCTTAACTAACTCAGAGAAAGAAAGTCGTTCCTAATGTCTAACCTAATCTCCCTTGTTACAGATAAGCCAATTGAAACTTCTCCTGCCTTCAGTGGATAAGGAGAACAGTTGATCACTGTCCTCTTTGTAACATCCTTTGATGTGAAGACTCTTCCCAGCTCCTCCCTCAGTTTTCTTTTCTGGAGACTAAACATAGCCAGTTTTAACTTGCCTCATAGGTCAGGGTTTTTTTAATGTTCTATCATTTTTCACCTGGGGTTCAATTTTTGTCCACGTGGTACCTAGACCTGGACACAGAACTCCACCTGAGGCCTCACCAGTGCCACATAGAACAAGACAGTTCTCTCCCATGCATCACACATGACCTCCCAAAATTATATCAGCTTCTTTCAGAGCTGCATCACATATTAAATTTGTGATCCACTATGCTCAACAGATCCCTTTTGGCAGTATTGCTGCCTATTTAATTACTCCCTGTTTTGTAACTGTGTATTTGTTTTCTCTTTCTTAAATGTAGTACTTTGCCCTTCTTTTTATTGAATTTCATCTTGGTGATTTCAGAGCTGTTCTCCAATTTGTCAAGGTTGTTTTGAATTTTAAAACCAATGTGCCTGCAACGCCTCCCATCTTGATGTCATCCACAGATTTTATAAGCATACATACACTCCGCTGCCTTAAGCCACTAGATACAACCCAGGACAGACCTCTGTAGATCACTAGATACAATCTCCCAGTTTGATAGAAAACCATTATTAGCTACTCTCTGAGTGTGTTTTTTCAATCTGTTATACACCTTTTAAAACCAATGTGCCTGCAACGCCTCCCATCTTGATGTCATCCACAGATTTTATAAGCATACATACACTCCGCTGCCTTAAGCCACTAGATACAACCCAGGACAGACCTCTGTAGATCACTAGATACAATCTCCCAGTTTGATAGAAAACCATTATTAGCTACTCTCTGAGTGTGTTTTTTCAATCTGTTATACACCTACCTCAGCCGTAGCCAACCCACAGCTCTTCTCCCCCGCCCCCCCCCCCCCCCGCGAAAGCCGCCCCCGTGCCCCTGAAAATGGCCCTCTCCTTCCCCAGGTCCCTGTGGTCACCAGGGCAGGGGCACCATCTGGCGCGGCCATTAAAGATGGAATTTTAAAGATGGCACCAGCCGGCTGGATCCACTGACATCCTGGCTCTTTGCCCGGAATGGGTTGGCCACCCTGACCTAGCTCATAGTAATTTCATATAGACCATATGTCCCCAGTTTTCTTATGAGTGCTGTGGGATTGCGTTAAAAGTCTCACTAAAGTCAAGATGTATCATGTCTACAACTTCTCTTATTTCTCACCATCCTCTAATACATTAACCCTGTCAGAGAAAGAGGTTAGATGTGTGTGGCAAGATTTATTCTTGGCAGATCCTTGTTGGATCAGGGCTCTATTCTACTAGGCACTGTAAAAACAGATAATCAAAGTCAGTCCTTGTCCCAGTTTGTTATGGAAACTAATTCACTGGCTCAGAATAATTAGCTGTGCCTGCAGTCTGTTGATTCCTACATGACACTGTCCCTGCAGTGTTGAGTGTCCACTGCCACCATCACTAGTGCAAGTGAGAGACGGGTGAAATGAGCACAGGCTCTGGATGTATAAAAATCACACCAACATGTTGGTGTTGGGATATTTATTATTCTGTGTCTCACATGTGGGCCTTATAAAGGTTAATTACAAAAAATAAGAAAATAGTTAAAACATACACACAGAATACAGTGCGCACACAGCTGTCGGTTGACCATAAGAGAATGCTTCTGTTCTTCAGCACCCGTGTTAGATTTTGGACATGATTTGCGAGGCAGGAATTCTTATTTAGACACTTACATAAGTTATGCCTTATTTTAAGTGTATCTCTGTTCTGCTGTCCTACCTAATACTAACTGGTGATGGCTTTTCTCCTAGCTCCTTACGTTGTGTACATGCCAAAAGGTGACAATGAGCCATGTTCTATCACAAGCACTTTGGAACATTTCCCAGAAGAGGAGGCCAGCAACAAGGAAGATGCTACTAATCCTCCACAAAATCCTCCTTCCAACCTGACTGTGGTGACAGTTGAGGGCTGTCCTTCCTTTGTTGTACTGAACTGGACAAAACCGGAAAATGACACTGTTACTGGTTAGTCTAATTTCAGTTGTGATCATCTACTAATTCACTATATAACACTGTATGCTCATTTGTACTATAGTTAAATGTTTGTTGTTTATGTCCATAGATAAAAGCATCATTAGACAAAGTGAGCCTGATTCTTCATTGCTTAGCTTCTTGTGTAACTGCTGACATTTGGAGAAGGTGGGTGTAAAATACTATCAAATCAGAACTGTGGAGTTCTGTACACTCACTGTGCACTGATGTGAGTGACTACACAAGATGCAGGACAATGTAGAATCAGGCTATACAGTGTGTCTCCCCATTATTTATTTCTGGCTCCTCCGTACCCTGTTGGTAAGTGGATTCTTTACTGTCTCCTAGAATCTAATAATGGTTATTCCACTGTTTGACGACAAACGGGGAAAAAAGCAAGTTCAGCGTTGTTATTTAAAATTTGTATATAGCACAATATTGCAGTTGTGCATAGCATAGCATTTTTACAGCGAAAATACAAACATGTTTCCCGCTTTCAGGAGTTTGCAGTCTAAAAACCTGATCCAGCAAAAGCTTGTGACTAGCTAGAAAAGTCAGTGTGTTTCTACATGCAGTAATATGCTTCATACCCTAGAGTAGATAGTTGTAGGAGCATCAGGCCCTAAAATAGTTATCTCTTTCTTTTGCAAGTATGTCAGATTTTTAGATTTAAAATAGTGATGATAGCTGAGCATGCATGTTAATCTTCTCATAAAAAAATCCCATAACAGGTGACCTTACATATTTTTACAGATCTGTATAAATTAGAAGCAAATTCAGTCTTTTCTTTCAAGAGCAACATATGTAAATACATATAATATGGTTTTCTCTACTATGGATGGGGGGAGGACTGTCTATTCTAAGACTTTGTAATGCAGGATGTGTCCATTTTTATAATCATTCCTCATCCCACATTGCATCCTCTTTCCACATTGAGCTTGTCTGGTTTTGGTTTTAATATCTCCTCATAAGTAACAGTTACAACATTTAAGAGGAAACTCTTTCCAAAGCAATTACAAAGGATTCAATTGAAAGTATGTGAATGTGGTTTACCCATGTATTGCATGAATGAAAACAAGTCTCTGACATCTTCTAAGAAACTCCTGTATTCATATCCTTTCTTTTTCAATTCTTTATTTGAAGAGTTGGAACACCCAGAAATGGCAATGGCCACACAGCCCTTGGCATGCTTACTATGGTTTTGCCCGGAGAAAATTCCTTTTAGAATCTTTAGGAAGAGTCCCACAACATCCTGTCTTTTTTCCCATGTAATCATCACTACAATGATAGTTTGTCTATTACAGTTTTCCACAGCTTCTTTTTTTTCCCCCCAATAGAGATTCATCTTGTAGTCTCCAGGAAAGAGAAGGAAAACATGGCAAAAGCCATATTAATGGCATTAATTATTATTGGGCATCTAAACATTTTTCTGTTTAAAGAAACTCTTGTTTGGATGCTATCCCACTAGATACCTTCGTGTCTAGTGACCAGCCAGGTTTTTATTATTATTATTATTATTATTATTATTATTATTATCAGTATGTTTAATTCTAAGTTCCAAAATTCTTGGACCCAGCAACATTCCTGTCAATTACATAGTTTTGTCTTCCTCATTTCTATTTATTTAGTGGATCAGACACAATAATTTTTAAATTCGAGTGAAAGCACTGAATTCCATTTTTAAACATCATACAGCATCACTTTATATGGGCAGCAGCTTAATATTTATTATTGGCTAAGACATGCTTAATTTAAGTTTTCTGAGCTTTTTATTTTCTGACTTTGTCAAGGATTTTCCAAATTGCGTTTCTCTATATTTATATTTATACATACATACATATTTTTCAGAGGTTTTGGATAATTAGTACTTTGAAAACAAAAAAGCAATGTCGTTTGTTGATTCCTTTATTGACGATTATGTCAGCTACCTTTCCACTAACATATTGCGTGAGGACTTCAAAATTGTAGATATTCTTAAGATCAGAATTATATTTCAATGATGAAAAGATTGACAAACAGTAAACAAAACTGCGATGAGAGTTACCTCCTAAATTACTTGAAGGTTGTCAATGTCAGGCCCTAATCCCTTCGCTGCTGGTACTCAGCTAGAGCATCTACATTGTAGTGGTAGCAGAAATAGTGTGAGGTCCCATTTTCCAGATGCACATAAAGAAAGAAAAGATGCAAAAAAATGTCATTTCATTAGTAGCTTAATTTTATCTCAGAATATCCAGCAGTAACTCATACAGTGCAGGTTGTAATCTCTTTCTTAATCATGTCCATATGGTGGAGGGCAGCTGTCATACCACCTGTCTTCCACAGCTGGTCCCCAGTCATTTCGGGGACTCCACCAACCTTACTTTGTATGAGGGGACTGGGGAAATGGGACTGTCTCCCTTCTATTTCAGACATACTGGAAGCCCAACCCCAATTCTCCAGCTTCTCTAGAAGATGCCTTCTCCTAAATCCACTTTAATTCCAGTTTATCAGAGAGCCAAGACCTCCTGTGGAACAAATACTTGCACTATATACGTGCTAAATGGGGATAGTTTAACCATGCCACCTGACCTTCCTCACCATTTCTCTGAGCTGCTGTGGTGAAGGCAAAAACCTCATCCCAACCATTCTAGCAGAGAGAGAAAAAAATTCTTCTCGGTTCCCAAAAACGATGACCAGAATAAATCCCCTAGCAGATGGAAAAAATCCTGTCCTTTGATGACACTAGGGGTGTGAGGGTAGGGGCTACTTATCTGCACAGGATAGAGTACTCAGATTAAGGATTCAGGGAGCTCAAAAACTGCCTCTAGCCTATGTCCCCGCCCCCTAGGCCACATCACTCAGGGCAGGTAGAGGGCCCAGAGCTCCTCCGAGCAGCCCAGGCTCTCTGCGCGGCTGTTGCCACAGCTTCTGGCCTGGCCAAAGGGGGGAATATCAGGGGAGAGAGGGAGCAGCAAGGGACAAGGCTTTGTGACAAGTGGGAAGAGCCTGGTGTCTCAGGCTAGTGTGGACTTGTGTTGCAGAATTTGGGAGAAATGCTGTTCCAGAGTCATTCAACCTGGGACTGGGACTTGAACTCTGCATTTTGGGATTGTCTCACCTACCTCAGGATGGGTGGTCACCCTCTATTCCTGGGTGTGTCAGTAAAAAAGCTGACAGTCTGAGGCCATCTCTTCACTTCCCAGAAGAGTCATGCTACAGAAGTAAAAATCTGGAGTTTGATATATTGGGTCTACTAAAGACCAGCCAAATCTAACACTGAGGGTGCCCCTGTCAACGCTGGAACTCCTACTCATTCTAAGGAGTAAGGGAAATCAAGGAGAGCATTTCTCCTGATAACCTCCCACTGGGAGAACAGCACTGAAGCTCAGCTTAAGGAATATTGACTCCAGCTATGTTTTTTACATAGCTGGAACTGCATACCTTTAGCCAGCGTTCAGCTGTAGTGTGGACCTATCCTGAGAGTCAGAGAGAGAAGGCTGAACCTGCAAGGAATTCAGGCTCTTTCTTTCATCTCGAAGATGGGAAATAACCGAGACCAATGTGAGCAATGGCTAGTGAAGTTAAGCTTAAGTAAGGGAATATTTATACAGGTCTTGTTTTAAATCCACCTGAAGTTTTAAAGTCTATGCACTACATAACTTTTGGGTGGAATAAATCATGTTTGTTTTAAAGAAGGTGTTTCAGATTTATAGCTAATGTGTGCTGACCATAAGCTCCCGGAAGGAAACTTGCAAAAGGGAAGTGGGCCTGCTGAGTAGCATTGTTGACAGACAGGTGTGATCTAGAGACCAAGTTGGACAATGTCTGGATGGTGGGATGTCATCTCAAAGAGAAGTAGAGGCATGGGTCTCACTTGAAAGGGATGTGCTAAAGGGACAGGAAAAGGGGCTCAGCAAGCTCACCCTACTCAGGGACCATTACACTCACCGCTCCATAAAACTGGATCATTAAACAGAGTTTTTAATGGACTTAGGTTATAAAAAAGGAGTAGTTCATATGGATGCCAGTGTGATGGATGATAACATAATCAGGGAAGTCCTCATAACAGGAAATCAGACAAGAAAAAAAGAGAGGAGTGAAAAATTTAGAGGAATTAGAATTTTATTAAAGGAAAAATTATGTTTCTTTTAACTTTTCAGAGTATAAGGTAGTATCAACTGAAAATGGAGCACCTACCGGAAAGGAGATGTCCATTCTAACTACAAACCAAACCCACTCTACAGTTGAAAATCTGAAACCTAACACAAGGTAATGCACTACAAGAACTTCCCAAATTAATCCAGCTAAATTAGACTGTCTGTCATATCCCAGGTTAAGAAAAAGACACAAAAGTATAAGAACAAAATGAGTGTGTTCTAATTCTGCTGGGAAGCAGACTTTAAAAAAATAGTTAACCGAGAAAGTAATCTCATGCCCGAGATGTCGCAGATGGCCCAGACTGTAAGGGCTGGGTATATGAAAAGGTGACACATTCTGCATCCTGGCAGAAAGATCCACAGTTCAGTTTTTACAGGTCTACTGTCTCTTATGAAAATAACAGTCCCGTAGAATTTAATAGGGATAAAATCAATTAAATTAAGTAGAACTCATGAGTATTAGACTTCAGTAATGTGGTAATATTTCCATATTTTTAACTATCCTGTACAATTCAGGTTTCAAATAATATAAAGGGTTGGATTAAAATGTCCTATGGGAGTGTCTCATCAAAAACTGCACATGTGACTTCCTTTTTAAATGAATAATTGTAATTAGAATGGTGGATTATTTTCAAGCATGTATAGTTGTATAAAATGTGTACAGATGTGAATTTGTTATACCAGTATTAAAACATAGCTACCAATATTCATGTTTCACTCAAGAATTAATGAATTTCCAAATGTTTTGAAGTTGAGTGGAGCATGAATCTTTTCCATACTGAGGAATAATCACATCATGCTTGATGTGCCTCAATGTATCTATCTTCAAAGTGAATAGACTTAAGCCATGTCTGCACCACATGGCTTAATCAGTACCACTGCAGTTAATGCAGCAGTGTCAGTTTAATGGGTTTGGTGAAGATGCACTAAGTTAGTGGGAAAATTTTCCGCTCTCCCATTGATGTCAATAAGCCACCTCAACAAGAAGTGGAAGCTATGTTGACAAGAAAGTGTCTCTCATTGACATAGCATAGTGTGGATGCTACTGTAAGAAGAGCTAATTTTCATTGACTTAAGTAACAATTACTTATGTAACTTGTAACTAGCAGTAATGCAGACCAGGCTTTAGAAGGGCTGTAAAGGTAAAAGAGAGAGAGTGTCTCATTGCAGTCCAAATACATGTACAGGCAGTCCCCGACTTACGTGGATCCGACTTACGTCGGATCCCTAGATACGAACGGGGTGAGGCAACTCCCGCACATGCGCAGCAGCATTCCCGGGGCTCGCTCACCTGGGTCCTAGGATCCTCCTCCTCCTCGGGCCGGCTCCGACTGGGGTCCCGCAGAGCTGCCGGGCAGAGGAAAAGTGCCTCCCCATACATGTACAGGCAGTCCCCGACTTACGTGGATCCGACTTACGTCGGATCCCTAGATACGAACGGGGTGAGGCAACTCCCGCACATGCGCAGCAGCATTCCCGGGGCTCGCTCACCTGGGTCCTAGGATCCTCCTCCTCCTCGGGCCGGCTCCGACTGGGGTCCCGCAGAGCTGCCGGGCAGAGGAAAAGTGCCTCCCCACGCCCGCTGCCCCCCCCCAGCCACC